CCGCCTGATGCTCAATTTGCACGAAGCAGCTCATATAGAGGGAGCAAGCCAAATCTGCGAAAACAGCGACTCGACACAACTCGGGTCCCTTCATTTCGTACAAGATCGGCGACCGCAGATTCGTACTTTGGATCGAGATGACGAGTCTGTTTGATAACATTAGAACAAACACAGTTCCATCAGAAGCCCCCGCAAAGCGATAAAATACAAAGCTAATTATTGTACTACTATTTACCTTATCTTTACCAGTGGGCATGTAAGTTATTATTATTATGGTCTTCAATGATCAGTGAAATATTGAAGCAAACCAAGCATTCCAGCGTGCAAATGAGCGTGAGTCTACGGGCGATGCACACTTTGCTCTTGACTTGGTATAAATAGGCTTAAGATGATTCATGAGGAACGTTGACAGTTGTGGGCGCCTGTCGTGTCACCCTCGCTCCACTTACGGCGCCAGCCTATGAGACAATCAGCTCCCTAACGCCCTTGGTGGCAACCTATTTGCTTGTGAGATTCTCACTGTATAGTCACTGATCAGTCCAATACTCGGCGCCCTTCGTCTGACTCCATCGGAAAAAAAAGTCAATTGCATTTAGTCTGTCATGCCGGACAGACCGTCTCCTCATGATCGAAGCGGCGGCCGAGTAGGCTCCCCGCAGGATCTCCGTATATTGGTTTTTTCTCGTCCGCTACACCGCTCTTGTATGGAAAGCGAGAACACCATGCTCATTTAATTGACATCGCCTAACTTATTGGGAGAACAAAAGTACCGATTGAGAGATTACTCAGGCTATGATGAGCCATAATTTTTTCGGAACAATGGTTAGAAGTGAGAGGGAATTCAAGGATTTTCGGATACGGCCGCTTCGAATTTTATAATTTAAGCTGGGTTGAATGGTTAGTAATAGTATGGTCCAGCGGCATTCGTTATCTCCAACGGGTTAGTACGCCGGCTACACAGGCTACGTAGGGCTCCGTATCCACCAAGATTTTTCCTCATGGAGTTCATATGCCGCGTTCATTTTGGGATTCACCTGAATAGTTACAATCTTACTTTTTCCCCTCCACTGGCAGGTTCACGCTTTCGGATCTGAAACGAAATCCTTCTCCCCACTACCAGCATCACATACAAGGCCTCAAATATCTCCATATGGACCGCGTCTCCTTTGGTTTCCGCACGGCGTTGAATCCCATATGTACCCCCATTGCAAATATTCAGCAGGCGGCGTTGCACTTTAGTAAGCTTTAATTTAACCATTCTTTTGAAGCTCCGAAGGTCCCTCCTATTTCGATTTGCTTTTGCCACTTTCCCCTCATCTTTTATGCCTAGAGGAATACAGTCTTTAACCGGGAAGCGAACTGATTTGGCACTACAGCGATTTCCTCTGCGAAGGAGACTGATTTCCGTTCAACTATTTTTTTAGTCGATGCATCTATTCTGTGGCTACATGCCTATTGAAAAGTTTGGAGTATTTAATGCAGAAATGGTGGAGAACAGGGCTCATTTAGTGAAACCATCAAATTTGATCATTTACTGGGAAGCAAAACACTATGTACAAAGCTGTGAATTGTGCCTCAGGAAATAAACTCGACGACTCGATGTAGCCATATTTGGAATTTGTGACCCTGAAAACCCCCAATATACGCCTTAACAATGAAATCTGCAGTCAAGAGCTGGGACGCGGCGACATGAATCCCCCCTGTCTTGGCTTAAGCTGGGAGTGTGTCAACAGAGAAATCTTAAGCTGGATTCCAAACTGAGCTGGCTTAAGCCGTATAAAATAACATATACACTGTAAATATACACCGTAGTATTAAGCCGGCTTAACATCGCGTCTGCGCTTGAACTCCACCCATTATCCAGCCAGCTCAAGTGACAGCAAGCCAGCTTGAACTTCTGCTCTATCTCGATACTCGCTGCCGGTGTCCGCAAATTTAAGCTAGGCCAAGAGACGACTCCGTTCTCGATACCTGCCCATGCAAGCAGACTCAAGTTCGAAATCACCCTGAAAGATCAAGGGCCACCGCACGCGGAATGTATAAGTCTTGGTAGATCGTTGGTTGATTGACACGTCGACGAGAGTGTCTGCAGCACGGAACTCGAGTGGGACACAATGGACTATCGAGAACGCGCGGGCACCCCGTCGCATCGCCGACAGCGAGTGCGGGGGCAGTGGAATAAAGACGCCGCGAGGCACGTAGAGAAAAAAGACATCGCGACGCACGACGAACTCGCCTGGGGTAGCGTTGGATCTCGCGTGTGGACGAACAAGAGCGCGCGGGAGGCAGGCCTGACGGATACGGACACCGAAGGGCAGCGGGAAGAAGGAAACGGGAAAGACTAGAAGCAGGGCAAAGGATTAAAAGGGGGGATCGAAGGGCGGGGATGGATGGAAAGCAGGGAAAAAATAAAAGAAAGCAACGGATAGGAAGAACCACTCACCCCAGCTCCTCCTCGCCCATGCGCGCATGAACGCACGGCCACCCACGCGTCGACTTCGCCGCCGAGGTACGCGGCCAGCTGTGCGGGCGTCCAGCGCTTAGGCGAGGTGCCGTTGTTTATTCCTTTATTGTGGCGGGTGCATTCGGTGTGGTTTCTGTAATTAATTCAGGATTAGGAGTTGAATATAGGGAAAGAGGAAGGAAACACACTTGACCCAGACAGCATCGGGAGCGCCCTCGGGCTAACCCCCATACGCCATCCCCTGAGTCGTGCTCAAGCTGAGCGAGTACCGGTGCCCGCGGCACTCGCCCCTCCGCTCGCCCACCGCCTTCTCCCCGCTGCCCCCGCCATTCTTGTCCCCGCTAGCGCTGGAATTGCTGCGCGCGCGGTACGACGAAGGGTGCGGGGACGGCGGCGGCACGTAGTGCTGCCGCCCTCCGTTCTGCTGCTGCGAGCTGGTGGAGTTGGACGCGTGAGGAGCGTGGTGGACGAGTTGTGCGGATGGGGTATGGGTGTGCGTTGGGCTTGAGGCCGTCGAAGCTTGGGGTGCTGCGGTGTGGCGAGCCTTGATACATGATCAATAAATAAATTTGAAAATATTCGCAGTAGTAAGAATGTGCCTCCAGCAGGGGAGTCGAAGAGCGAGTTGATGCGTGACCGCGGCGTGGGCGAGCTATTCACCGTGGTGTTGTTGTTATTGGTGTTATTCTCCCGAAAACGGGACGTAGTCGCCGTAGTCGGCGACTTTGCGGGCGAGGCGAGCGCGCGCGCCAGGCGAGTGGCACAGAGCCGGGGCTGCGTACAGCCGAAAAGGAGACGCTTGATTTGGTCATGATTGGTTGCTCGGCCGGGAGCTGCCGGGCTTGGTTCGAGAAGTTCAAATTATTGTGAGGTGAATTTACATGAAGGCTACCCTTATCTGGGGCATAGATATTGCACGAAAGCCTCGGTGGATCATGGCGGATTGTTCCTGTTACGTCAGGTAGGCTACTGCGTGGACAAGGGAAGGCGGGGTTCAAGTCTGAACTGTATTATATGGAAAGCGCCGACTTTTCTCCTCACTTTATGGTTTTTCTGGATCGATTTTACTTCAACTTCGTTAAGTTCTATCCATTGAAGTAAGTGGTTAAGTAGAACTTGGAAAGCAAAGGCGAGTCTGCGGTAATTTAATTCATTAATTCTGATGGTTGGGTCGTTGAGGCAGAAGCAGCTCCACAACTCGCACACAGTGCCAGCAGATCACCCCATTTATCCAACTTCCAATTAAATACAATAAGCCTTGGTGGATCTGTGGTAGATCGTCCCAGCTTTATAAGTGGTTCAGTTGAACATCTGTGGGAAGTCGGAGGTCCGAATCCTCCCCAAAGCATCATTTCTTGCCATGCCATTTTTTTGCCATTATTTCAATTCAAAACAGGCCGTTCTAAGTTCACATAATCATATGTACAGAACTGGCGCACAAATTGGAGCTCGAGCTCATTTAATTCGGGTGCTCGAATTGCCGAGAGGCAGGTGCACAACTCACAGAAAAATCACTGCACCTATCCAACCCCAAAAGGTAGACAAAAGCCTTGGTGGATCATTGGTCGACCATCCCCACTCAATATTTCGTTATGCTGCAGTTGTACTCGGGAAGACGGAGGTTCGAATCCTCCCCAAGGCATGGGTTGCTGATAGATGTTTATTTGCTTTTTTGTTTTCGCCTTAGTTATTTTACCCCCTTTGTTCCATTCGAAACCACGCCAGTCTGTGTGTTCATACACACACCTATGTAGAATTGCAAGCCAATTGCAGTCCACGTTCATTCGATTTTTGTTTGCTCAAATATTCCATTGTAGCCGACAAGGGTTAAAACGTTGAAAAATGACAGGCAGCTCACACAAAAATCACAGCACATATTCCTCCTCCAAAGGTAAAGAATATGCCTTGGTGGATCAATGGGCAGATTATCCATTCTCCGTGGATTGAGCCATACACTGCGTACACGTGGGAAGACGGAGGTTCGAATCCTCCAAAGGCATGGCGACAGTGTTTAGTATCTTTTTGTTCTTGCCTTAGTTATTTTACCGCCTTTGGTTCATACACATACCTATGCAGAATTTGCAAACCAATTGAAGTACACGTTCATTCGATTTTTGTCTGCTCAGATATTCAATCATAGCTTAGAGGATTGAAGGAGGGATTGAGCTCGCACCCGAAAAATTACTCCACCTACCCAACCCCAAAATACAGAGAATAAGCCTTGGTAGATCAATCGGCAGATCAATGTCGCAATACTTTGTGCCGTTCGGCAGATGGGGTTCGAATCCTCCCCAAGGCATGGCGACAGCGTTTACTACCTTTTTGTTCTGGCCTTGGTCATTTTACCCCCTTTGTTCCATTCGAAACTACGCCAGTCTGTGTATTCATACACATACCTACGTAGGATTTGCAAGCCAATTGAAGTCCACGTTCATTCGATTTTTGTTTGCTCAGGTATTCAATCGTAGCTTAGACGGTTAGAAAAGACATTGAGCTCGCACCCAAAAGATTACCAACCCCAAAATACATAGAATAAGCCTTGGTAGATCAATAGGCAGATCATCCCAACACAGTGAGTAACCTCCCGACGATTATACGGGAAGGCGGAGGTTCGAGTCCTCCCCAAGGCATGGGATTGTCGACTGGCTTTTTTGCATTGCTTTAAGTTCTTTTCTCTTCATCATAACAAAACATGCCAGTCTGTACGTTCCTACATATGTAGAACTGCGCAAACACGGGAGCTTGAGTGTATTTATTCCCTCCACCACGATATATTTGGTCAGCGGTCGACAAAGTCGAAAAGAGCTAGGCATGCACAGAAATCACACCATCTATCCAACCTCCAAATACAGAGCATAAGCCTTGCTAGATCAATTGGAAGATCATCCCTACTCGGTGCGTTGACTGGTCACTGTATGAGGGAGGTTCGAATCCTCCCCAATGCATTATGTAGTAGACACTGATCTTTTTCCCCCACCATGTATCTTTCTTGCATTACCTCTAATATAACATTATAAAAATGTTGTTCTGTGCATAGGGAGAACTCATTTACAAAGTTGGAGTCCGAAAGCTCAGGGGCTTGAAAAATCGACACGCAGTGTACAGAAATCACAGTACCTATCTCACCTCCAAATTTACAGAATAAGCCTTGGTGGATCAATAGGAGCTCATCCGTAATCAATGTCACGATACTTTGTGCCATTCGCAAGATGGGGGTTCGAATCCACCCCAAGGCGTTAGATGACATTCTTGATGACTTTTTTTGTTCTTGCTTTTATTTTTCCCCGTGTTTCATTCGAGAATTAGAACATGCCAGCCTGTGCGTTCATTTACACATGTAGAACTACCGAACCAATTGAAATCCGCATTGATTCAAGTTTTGTGAGCTCAGATATTCGGTTGACCGACAAGGTTGAAATTGACAGGCAGCCCGCACAAAAGTCACAGCGCCTATCCAACTTCGAAATAGAGAGAATAAGCCTTGGTGGATCAATCGGTAGATGATCCCTCCTCAGCGACTCCTGTAGAAGGTTTCTCACGGGAAGACGGAGGTTCGAATCCTCCCCAAGGCATAAGTCTGTTCTTGCCTTGCCTTTTGTTCACCACTGTTTCAATTCAAACGGGTCGCTCTGCGTTCAATCAATGATATAGAACTGGCAAGCAAAATTGGAGCTCAAGCTCATTTATTTTATTTTACCAATTCCGATGTTGAGTCGCTCAGGCAGGGGCAGGCAACTTGCGTAGAAACCACCGTAGCTATCCAACCTCCGAATGGAGAGAATAAGCCTTGGTGAGGGAAGCTCTGTGATTTTCTCCCGCCGCATTTCTTTTTACCTCCATCCCTCTATGATGGGAAGACGGAGGTTCGAATCCTCCCCAAGGCATGGGGATGCGGCTCGAAAATGCCTTTTTTACCCCTCCGTTTCTTTCCGCATCCTGTCTTCATTTCATTTTATATTCGAACGTTTCCAGTCATTCTGAATTTTTGACTGTCGCAAAGGTAAATGTCCAGAAATCACGTTGGCCTGGTTTATCTCTGATTTTTTAAAAAAACAGAGAACACATATTACGCACTGGTCTCTCTTTGTGAGTTGTTTGAACCTCGTTTTTCGGAGTTTCCGCAGTCCTCTACCTTTGGTAAATTATTATTATCCACACTCAGTGTGTAAAGGCATTTCCTAATGGTGTTTAATTTGTTTTATATTTCACAACCCTGAGGTTTAAATTCCTTGGGAACCAACTAATAGGCAAGGGAAGGCGGCGCCGGCACCATCGCCGACTGTCCTGAAGCTACTCCAAAAAAAAAAAGAAGAAAAAAAGTAACGCAAATTATCATCATCATATATCCAAGTTTTCGATATCTCCGATCGCTGCACTCCTCCCACAAAAAAGAAGTAGTAGAGAATATACATCCCCACGAAGGCTTTATACACATTCCAGCCTGTGCAATTTAAATTGATTTCTTTCTTTCTTTCTTTCTTAGTACCCTGTCCTTTCACCCATCTTACTTGTTCTTGACACTTGTTGGCTTGAATTTGTTTGGTATTTAAAATCTTTCATTAGTTATGTTCACAGGTACTGACCTATGTTTTGGTTCTGCGGCGCATTTGGATACTCATGTCCACACTTCAAGATGTCTGAAGGTCCTTATTGGACAAAAGTCATTCATGCTTTAGAGGTAGCATATTTTCACGAGATCTTGCAAGATCTTTCAAGATTTGCTAATTTGGCCGACATATTGCGAGATCTTTCAAGATCTTATGGGATCTCACGGTGTTGCATTTTTTCAACTGCTGTGTGCATAAGATCTTGCATCTTGAAAGGAGGACAACCTTAACAGGGGCCTGAGAACTGCTCAGGACGAATTGGGCCTGGCAGACCCAATGTGGCCTGGCCTGAAACGGCTCCACCCCATGACACTACACGGCCAAACAGAAAGGTATGAATTCCTAATATCGGTCGACTTGCAATTTCGTACGAATGGATTTTTAACAATTTTCTACAACCTGATGTCGGCAAGGGAGATACCAGCTCGCAATGTTAAGCGTTGTTAACCGGTGTTAACCGGTGTCTCCAATGCAACTCGTGGGCACAAAGGTCCGTTCGCCCCACACGTAAGACCACCTGCATGTTGGTCTGTCAAAATGCTCTTTCTTCTCGATTCCATCTCCTCGCTTTCCAGTGTTTCCACACCCCCCATTCACAATTTCAAGGCTCTTCCATCTCATGTGCGGTTGTCAAACATGAAGGCCTGGCCAATACCTTAGGCTCAAGGGACGAAAGGCGGACCGCACTTCAAGATTCAAGAGCACGAAGGCATCTTCAAGGCGTCAAGCCGTTCTCAAGGACTCAAACCTCAAGGCCCCAAGCCTTAACTTTCGTAGCCCCTGCTCTCTGGCCTCGTCTACTTCGGATTCCGCATCCAATGTTTGCGCATCCTGTGCCGATACCACACCGCGATCCGATTTTACTTACTCTGATTGTCAGTACATTGAATTATATATTCTTTATCCTCTCTGACTGTGTGAGTATCTGAATGTCAACTACGAGCGGACGGGTGCTTTTTTTTTTTTGCAGGCAGCACCGGTCAGATTTCCCGGGGGTGCATTAGTTGTAAGAAATTCTTACAATCTGCCCATCTTAAGATTCTTAAGGGGTCCGAGTGTGAGTTTTCATTAACGATTTCACTCTGAATCACTACAGTCAAAAATCGTAAGTTTACCTTAAGCCATCAGTGCCGCCGTGTTACGAGTCCTAAATTTATTTAGGTAATCGTTCTTTATCAACGGTTTCTACGCACTTTTTTGTACATCAATAAGACACCTTAATTTTGACTAACCGTGGGAATACTGTTGTTCTGGTTCACTTCTCGTACGTTCGCGGCGCGGCGATGCGGTGAGGATGAATTTTTTAGGGTCACGCGGTAGGTCATACGGTCACTTTTACTTGGCGAAGAGCTTGGCATGATACTAATGCTCTGTGTTTGACCAGACTGTCATGCCTCGCGACACAGCTCACCTGTACCACTTGCAGTTGATTCAGAGTCCAATTAAGTACCCCCCTACTGATCGAAGTACCCCGCTTCTGCAAGGTCTGGACTCCACGTGATCAGATGACGAGTTCAAGCGAAGGCTTGCACTTGTGCAATGTCTTGGTACTCTTGTTTTTCTTTTGAGGGTGTGCTAGGCAGGTCCCACTGCCTGCACCAAGGCTAGCCTGTGGCCTAATAGAGCCTAATAGTCGTGGCCGAGTTGTACGCAGCAAGCCTAGCACAGCAGTAACACTTACAGACAGACATTGATTGCCATGATTTTTGGCCACGTGAACGGCTTTCACGCTCGTATTATGTATGGATGTGGCGGTGGCTGTAACGTCATCTGGCATTTTGGTTCATTAAGGTCCTTGGAAACCTTTAACTAATATGGCGAGGCACTCCACGCAGGCACTTCACCTTGTCACTATCTTCAGAATTTTCAAACGCACTTCTGCCGCTGCGTGAACTCATTAAATTTGGCACGCACACAAGGCCAAGATCTTAAGATCTACCACATATATCCACAACCTGTGTTGAACTCAGATGCACCAATTTTAATGTGGAGTGCTCTTGATCTGCTCATGCTGGATTACTCTTTTTTGTTGTGTAGGCTATTATCTCAGATTGCACCCAGCAACGAGCTATCTATAAGCTACTGAGATTTACCACAGGTACATGCTTCAGGAATATACTTATGTATCTCGGATAGGGCCCTGTAAGTTGTTCCCAACGATTTGAAAACCGGTTTTTAAACCGCCATTGGTGCAGGGTCTAAGATTAGTCCAAAACACGCCTTTATGAGTCTCCCCATCCTAATTCCAAGGAGCAGCTTACCCCTGTGGCCTGCGACTACGCATCTCTCAGCCATGGTGCCCCGGGCGAGGCTGTGTGCTACCTTAATCAAAAGAGTATTTGTTGTTTATGTGCTAACAAATCGCTGAAAAAAATGTTCTATGCCCCACACTGTTGCTACTGCTTCGTGCGTAAAGCAATTCCTCAGGGGTGGATAAATCTCTGTTCGGAGGTCGAAATTCCTCTAAACTCCTCTAAACATTATGTCCAATGGAGGCTAACCTATTATTAGTTGTCCGGCAGAGACAGCTGTCCAAAGGACAATTATGTACCACCAAAAAAAAAAAAAAGTTCTATGTCAGATCATTCACCCCAGTGTGAGATATGGTATCGCGGAGCTACAACATTGCTGGCATGGGAACACAGACTGCGTAGCTGCGGAGCGAGCACAGCTTGGGCAATAGGATGCTTACATCGGCAGTGAACTACATACTGCATAACTGCGGGGCGGGATGGTTGAATCATAGCACTGTGTAGCTGGGGGATATATATAAGGTCTCGTTATTTCCATACCGGTTCTGTATTACAATTCTATTATAGTATAGATCTGGTGGTTCAATACAAAGATATTTATCATCCATATATATAATCTCTGCATGGGGGCTTCCACCTCTTACATGCTCCCATCCATCACATACCCTAGGTGGAAGCTCTCAGAACTTGCAGAAACATTTCGCAGGAGCTCCCAGCACTTGTCCAATCCCAGGTGTCAGCTCCCACTCTTGCCATAAAATTAATATTACA